CCAGTGCCTATTAACCGAAAGCCCTGAGGGTCTGCTGCTGGAAATAAGCTTGCCTCACCCAAAAAACACCTTTTGTTTTTTCACTAAATACTAAAGCTAATATCCACTAGCCCTTGCCTTTCCCTTTCCTATTTGTCTGTTGGGAAGTTCAGAAAATTAGCACCCTGGTGAGTTTGTCTTGTTTGCCAATCGCCTGACCTGCCCAGCATCCCAAAGAAAACTCCTTGTTAAAAACAAGTAGTAAAGTTTAGCATTTCTCAAGCTCATCAGTTGTCAAAGCTCTGTGTAGCTGTAGTTGTAAACAGTTATTCGCAGGAATAGTTAAGAAGAAGGTCTGGTAAAGCTCCATACCACTCCACAACTGAGAAGGGGTACAGCAACTGGGAACTTCCAACAGAGGCTGTACCAAGCCAGCTAAGCTTGTCTCCATCTGCTCTTTCACATCATAGAAATCAACCAAACAATATTCTGCCCTCAGAATACAGCTGGGGTGGGCACAGTGGATCTCACATGAGGTAAAAGCTCAGGAAGGCCTTTGATTAGGAAACAGCACAGCATCTAAACCCTTGGGGCAAGAAGACAAAGAAAGAGAGTGTGGGAAGAAGGCTGAAGGGAGTCAGAGATTTATTTATTTATTTATTTATTTATTTATTTCCAAAATAACATTCAAAGCAAAAAGAAAATATAGTCTCAATGAGAACAGGACTCAACCAAAGGAAACTTTCTTAAAATTGTTCCACTTTCACTAAAATATGAATTCAATGATAAAACAGTTCATTTTAAAACAAAACAAGAGTACCAGGCACAGGGTGTACTCAGGAAATAAAACAGCAAAACAAACGGAAAGAATCTTAGAACGATATAGAATAAATTCCTGACATCAGGGAAGGCTTGCATGCATACAGATAAAGATAATGGCATTAAGACTAGAGAGAAGGGCTGGGTGGATGACCCCGTGGGTAAGTGCTCCTGCTCTGAAAGCATAAGGACCTTAGTTTGAATGCCAGGTTCTACATAAAAATGGGGGGCAGGCTGCACATGGCTATAAGCCCAGAATTGTAGGGTAAGGACAGGCATATCCCAAGAGCCTACCTGGGGGAGAATGGAAACTTTTGGTTCAGAGAAACTCTGTCTCAAGAAAATAAAGTCAGAGCAATAGAGGAAGACGTCTACCTTCATGTACACACATGGGCTTGTGTTGTGACACACTCACAACATGCTTACATACGTATACATATACATAATATACATATACAGTGTGCGTATATACACACAACACACACACAATATACCCATACACCATATACACACAAAACACACACACTATTACACATAGCCACCATACACATACAACACACAAACATACCTCATATACCCACATACCATATACACATTTGCCATTTATACACAACACACTCACAAGAAAAAATGGAGATATTAATAAATTGAAATAATTTATGAAATAGACAATTTGTGCCCATGTAGCATAGACCTGAATAAGTCATGCAAATCCATAAAATGACTGTATTAATTATTTTTCTATTTCTATGAAGTGACACCATAATCAAGGCAGCTTGTAAGAGAAAGAGTTTATTGGAACTAATGGTTCTGGAGGGTTAGGGTCTAGGATCATTATTGTGCAGAACATAGAAGCAGGAAGGCTGGCCTGGAACATGAGAGATTACATCCTGGGTCATAGGCATGATGCAGAGAGAGAGAGACAGAGAAAGATCACTAACTGAAAATATTATGGGCTTCAGAAACCTCAAAGTCTACTTCCAGTGACACACCTCTTCTAACAAAACAACACCATGCCTCCCAATTCAGCAAGTATTCAGATATATAAGCCTACAGTGGCTATTATCATTCAAATTGCCATCACCTTAACAAAAAGGACTCCAGAAAACAACATAAAACTATATTCTTGACAAACAGCCAGAGAATAATTAATGCCTAGAGGAGATATATCCTAATCAAGTTACTATGATTCAGGACTAAAGAGGGATTCTTCTAGCCGCGAGGCAAAGGTCACTTTTAGAAAAGACAAAGATTCTTAATTCATTTCCATGGCATCACTCAACATTAAAGGAAAGCCTATACAGTCCCAAGTGAAGTGTGCTCTGAGCCCTTAAGGCCAGCCAACCTGTTCCTCTGTTAACACTACAAAGGTGATAAGTAGATAGTCCATGGTAAAATATTTATGGCTATCCTTTTAAGTATTTCTTACCCATTAAACACAACCAGCTAAGAATTGTGGAACGGAGATGCTATTTTAAGAATACAAGACAAATACATCAAATCCACCTGAATACAGAATTTGCCTTTCACAAAAGAAGAGCTGAAGATTGCATTCCCCCACTAGGTAAAAAGACAGGTGGCTAGCCTGAAAGATGTTGAATCAGAGAGGAAGGGGAGAGTATAGAATGTCCAGATTTTTTCTTACTGTAATTCTTAATCAGGTCAATCTCATACTAAAATATGATTAAAGAATGTTATAATTCTAATCGTAGTCAGTTGTGTGAATAGCTTTTTAATACAAGAAAAAATTCTTAGAAACTAATATCTCTCTCTCTCTCTTTATTCAATTTTTTTTTGTTGTTTTTTTTTGAGACAGGGTTTCTCTGTGTAGCCCTGGCTGTCCTGGAGCTCACTCTGTAGACCAGGCTAGCCTTGAACTCTCGAACTCAGAGATCCGCCTGCCTCTGCCTCCCAAGTGCTGGAATTAAAGGCGTGCGCCACCACCGCCTGGCATGAAACTAATATCTCTTAGAGTGAGGACACATTTGCCAGAACCCCAGCAGCTCCTTCTAGCAGACTCTCTACTTTGTACTATAAATTTGAGGAAGGTAAAATGTAACTCATTAAAAATGGAACATGTAAGATGTTTCGTGTGGTATTAAATGATGCGTAGTCAATGAACCAGCCTAAGAAAGGTTGTGTGAAATGGTACTGAATTAATGTAAACAGTGGTTAGGTGTGGGTCACTTAACAAGTGGGTCACTTCTGTTCTACCTTGCTCAAAGATCTGCTAGTAGCCATGTGTCCACTTCTACAAACTAAGATGCCCTCTTAAATTAGAAACTTCAAAATAACCGTTTATTGAGTTTTTAAACAACTTTATTCCATACTATCCTATGTGTAGACATAATGTATGTAGTTATGCTTGTCATAGAGAGAGTGTGCAGGCCAGAGAACATCTCTGTGGACTTACTTCACCTCCTCTACCATTACAAGGACTCTGGGGTGAACTCAAGCCACCAAGCTTGTGCAGAAAGAGTTTTTACCCACTGAGCCCTGAATTCTAAAACAAAATCTAAAACATTGGGTAACTATGATACAATATACACAACAGATAAAGGGCATAAAATTATCTACAGTATATTTTTCAGTGTCAACCAGAGCTGTTCCAACCTGAAGTTGCAAAGCATATCATAGAATGTTCTGTAGGCAGAACATCATTGTGAATCAATGAGCTGGGTTGATGTTTAAGTTTCTCTTTTGGTAGTGTGCAGAGTACCTTCCTGTACCAAAGATGCTACCACATAGGGATGAGGGTTCTCTGGAGACATGAGCTTGACTTCTCCATGTTCAGTGAGTTCTATAGGTGTTGTCTTCAGCAAAGGGGATTTGCCATCAGTTTCTGGAGAGCCATCTATCGTCTTGGAAACACTTTGAATTGTTTGTAGTTTCCCATGGAACCTATTTGGCCTAACTGGTCAGACTTTAAATTCGGGTGTGAAAAAAAATTCCATTTTCTTGATAATCTTGGCCATTTATTTTAGCATTATATTTGACATGATTCCTTTTAGACCCTGATCTGAAACATCATTTCTTTTACCACATTCCTACATAGAATTAAATAATCTGGATACTCATGATTTCACATTCCAATTGTCCAGAGCCCTCTACACACTCAGGATCTCCTTGGCTGCACAGTAGATACTTGCTCAGCTTCTGTCATGGGTATCTGTCTTTGCATGCACTATTTTTGGCAGGCCCTGGCTCTTAGATATAGTCTCCATCTTCCATTACCAGATAAGCTCAAAGGTGTCTTCAAAGATGATTTGATCCCGACACAAGGAACTTAACTACAAGTGATCACACTTGTGCTTATAAGCGAGAATTTGAGAGCTCCCAACCACATTCTCCTACTGAACACCACTGCTTTTTAATAATATAAAATTAATGATAAGAGATCTAAAAATCAGTTAAATGCTTCAAAATTTATGATTAGATAAAATAATCTGGCTTCTTTAAAATGAACTGATTAAGCCATTTATCTGGTTAACATCAGCCTATATGTGAATTCCATACTCAAAAGATAATGAGACCCACTGAGGCTTGGAAGAGTGTTTCCAGTCTCACATGGACCAATTCCATCAGTGTATCCTGGAATAGAAGTTCACTTACTGAGTACCTACAAAAATGACTCCCTGATGTCTTTTTACCATAGTTTTAACTTTAGGCTCTTTGGGTATGTAGCTTAGAATAAGAATTAGACTGTGATTCAACCCACTCCAGATGCAGCTAGAGCAGACAGCAAATGAAGCCAGACTTCTGTGAGCCAGGGTCTCTTGCTTGCCCAGGGTCATCGCTGTTGTGGGTTTTCTCACCACCCACCAGATCCTGCCCATTCATGATGATTTTGAGCCTCATTTATTTGCCTCTGAGAATCTCATTTTCAGCTGATGAGCCCAGGCCCACGTCATAACTGAAGGTAACACATTCTGCCCTGGTTTGTCAAGTAAGAGCTGAAGGAGACAGGTGTAGCCCTGGTTTATCTTTGTAGATGCTGTTGACAGCCCACCCATCCTTCCTAGATCTTCCTTCTAAGGAAAATACACCCAAGCAAGGATTTTATAATTGCTTTAGGGAGAGGCAAATACAAATGACCAATTTCATTTGAAGAAAACTGAGGAGAATGGAGTACATGGCAGGGGGAATGAAGGCAAAGGGCACAATGTCAGGAAAAGGGCAGGGCACCCTGCAAACAAACCAACCTGAAGTTCTGCATGAACTGCCGGAACTTGTCCACCCTCCTCGCTAGGGGTACGATAACGTTGATAAGCGTGTTTGCCATGTTGAGTTTTTCCTTTTTCACTTTCATGATGGGGCCAAAAGGTCGAAATAGGACAAGTCGTTGGAATTCATGCTTGTGGTCCCCTTTGAAGGTCAGCTCATACAAAGTGCCTTTATCCCTTTCTGTTCGGTAAATCCCTGAGGAACAAAACAAGCAAAGGTGGGTTCAGAAAAGGCAGTATCTTTCTATAACCAAGATCTCCCAAAAACGCCTTTAAATTTTATATTAGATCTCTACATTCTGTGATTAGAAAATTCAAAATATAATTAATATTCCAAAAGAGATAAACCCATCAGTCTAAAATTTCATTATGAAAGTCTCATAGAATCACAGGGAATGCTTATAATATTAGATACAAAACTATTTATATATTTAGAAGTATTGAAAAAAGGCTATTAGGAACATTGACTAAGTCTGATATAATATTAGGATGTGTTCTTTGTTGTTACTGTATATATTTTACAATATATTAAATTAGAATATTTCCATTTATTTAACTTAGAAATGTGCTTTGAAATTATAGTAATTTCAGATGAAACAACCACAGTGATTTATAGTAGCATCTTGGAAGAAAATGAGGCTAGAAATATGTGCCCTCTCCCCACGCTGAAGCTTTCAGAAGCATTAAGACAGTACTCAGAGTATTCGGTATGATGGGCAGGAGCTGTGCACTCAAGGCCAAAAGACTAGGTTAAAATTCTGGCTCCATGGTTGTACTTTCCATACATCATGTACCCCACAGAATAAATAATATTTTAGGAGAATGATCTAGAGGCTGATGCAGAAAGATCACTAGTCGAAGTCTTTCCTGGGTTTCAGAGTGAATTCAAGACCAAATTTCATTACTTAGTGAATCATTGATGTAGCGCAGTGAGTACTTACTTAGCATGTGCAAGGCCCTGGGTTCAACCTCTACCACCACCATCAAAAAGATGAAGCATGTATCAATAGGTCCCAACAGTGCAAGGCACATAGTAAAGCCTACATGTATGTCCCCCGTCATTTTCACTCTCCCTTATTCCATCAATTCTGGTGAAACAAGGCATATTGGGAAGGAAGAGAAACAGGAAGAAGTCTGTCTGTGTTGCCTTCATGTTGGGCCCCGTGTTACTGATTGTCACCTGTAAGGTTAAAGATATAGCTTTACTATCTTGCTCAGCCTTAAGCAAATGCTCCTTAAGATCAGCTTGACAGAACTGCCCCATCTAAAGACCAAACCACTCCCCAGGCCCACTTTCTCATCTAGACCTTTCTTCCCTAGGATCACTGGCATTGTGGGTGTTTTTCCATATATATTCTCTTATCATGCATTCCATTTCTTATTTATTCATATATATATGAATATTATATATATACATATGCATATATATATAATCTTTTCTCATACTTTGCATCCTGACTGCAGCCTCCCCTCCCTCCATTCCTCTCAGTCACCCCACATCCCCTTTCATCTCCAGATTCACTTCTCCTCAGTTTCCCTTTGGAAAAAAACAGGCCTCCCAGGGACATCAACCATCGAACACAGCATAACAAGTTACAACAAGACTAGGAACAAACCCTCACATAAAGGCTGAACGAAACAACCTTGTAGGAGAAAAAGGGTCCCAAGAACAGACAAAAGACTCAGAGACATCCATTTTCCCACTGTTGAGAGTCCCATAAGAACACCAAGCTAGACAACCATAGGTATATTTAGAGGACCTAGCACAGCACACAGGGTCCATGATTGTCGCTTCCATCTCTGTGAGCCCCTATAAGTCCTGATTATTTGATTCTGTGAGCCACTTTTTTGTGGTGTCTTTGATCCCTCTGACTCCTAAAATCTTTCCCACCCCCTCTTCTGCTGGATTCCCCAAGCTCTGCCTAATGTTTGGCTGCGGGTGACCACATCTGTTTCCATCAGCTGCTAGATGAAGCCTCTCTGATGCCAATTGAGCTAGGCACCAATCCACGAGTATAGGAGATTATCATTAGGAACCATTCCATTGGCTTTGTTTTTTGCCAGCTGTGTTTGGTTTTATCCTAGGTCTCTGAGCTATGCAGCATCTGGTCCTCGATGTATCAGGTGTGGGCTCCCTTTTGTGATATGGGCCTCAAGGTGGACCAGCTGTTGGTTGGTTACTCTCACAGGTTGTGGGCCATCATTTCTCCAGCACATATTGCAGGCAGGACAGATTGCAAGTCGAAGGTTTTGTGGCTGGGGTGGTGTCTCTGTCCTACTGCTAGAACCTTGCCTGGTTACAGAAAGTGGTCAGTTCAGGCTTTATATTCCCATTATTAGAAATCCTTATGAGGATCACACTCACAGATTCCAGGGAGTTCCTACCACACTAGATTTCTACACTTCCTCCCAACCCCCCCAAATTGCCCCTGAAGTCTAGTCATCTCTCCCAATACTCTCGTCTCTACTCCTCTGTCCTTTCATACCTGATCCTTCCTGTTCTCATCCCCACCTGCCCTAAAGATAAACGAAGAAAAATTAGCAACATTCAACAAATTAAGAGAGAAGTTTTTACTTTTGATTTATGCCGTATTTGCCATTCCACCTCTTACTCTTTTTAAGCCACCCATTAGCTGAGCATATACCTCCTAATCTCTGATTCGCTACAGAAATCAATCTCTGAGGGAACATGCTGCCCGATAGTGAGCTCCAGCTCTTCAGGGCATCTCACAAAGCCATTTCTCTTTCCTTTCTCATTCTTCTTTCTTTCTTTTGTGGGAAACATGCATCTTCTCCACACACATTGGCAAGTTCTCCTCTTTGTTCTTTGACTTGCGGGAGCCTTTTCATCCTCCAGCTCTGGGCTTGTAGCCTCTTTGATTTCATTCAAAGTTTAGACCTCTCCGAGGTGCAGAAAAGAGTCTTGCACTGTGAGTTTTCAATGTGGCCTCATTTCACACAGTCATCCAATGGGCCTGACTTAAGATTCAAAAGGCACAGTGTGCTAGCAGAGAGCAAGGGTGACTGAGAGAATCAGTTCTCTGCTGAGGCCTTTGCTACTTCCCAGAGTATCAAAAATGGGGACGCCCTGCTCTGCTTACCAATGTCAAGGATGCTGAGAGAATGGCTGAGTTTCTGTTGGGAAAATATTCAGCTTTCTTCTGCAGCCAGTAAAAAACGAGAGGAAAAGATTTATCCCTATGGAGCCTCAAAGGATTTCTGTGGAAACATCAAATACTTCCTTCATGTCTGTTAATTCTTTTAGGCAATTAGTCCCACGTGAGGAAACAGACCTCTAATGATGCCTATGGCAGCTAATTAGACTGCAACGTTTTTTTATACAGTTCAAGTGAGGCCCCGCCGAGTTACACAGGAGTTCAGTTGTCATACAGGTATGTCCACACAGTTGAAAAGCCCTTCAGGTTGGTGACTGAGCCTTGACAAATACCTTTGTTATTTTGTGTCACCAGCGTAACCACCCAAGCATAATCTTGGCAAAGGCTGTTGACCGTTGAACTTGAAGATAAAAAACGTACAGGGAAATAGGACCGCTGGGAGCTAGGAGATTACTTGCAAGAGGAATGGAGTTTGATCCACAAAACTCATGTAAAAAAAGCCAGTGGTGGTTGCCCATGCTTAGATCATCACACTTATAAACCAGATTTTAGATCCCTTAACTACATCTATTTTAAATATAAGTTTTAATAACTAAAACCCTCCTCAAACTGAGATCTACCAAACTGAGGTTTGCACCTGTCTCCCAGCTGTTACCACCAAGTAATGCATGAGAAGACACCACAGTTTGCCTTGTGCTAACTGAAAGGACAATACTTAATGGTGCCCTATGCTCTGTGAAACCTTCAATAATCAAAACACAAAGGATCATCAAGAAAGAAGACAGGAGCACCCAGAGGCAGAGGTGATTTGTAGCATAACACATAGACAACACAGAATAAACAGCCTCAAGCTGGGCATTCCGACTTGGAAAACTCAAAACGTGAAACTTAAGGATATACAGTGCTTATAAGTTTTGCATTTTAAGTCATTTTGGATTTTATATTTTTCTGATCCAGTTGATAAAATGTCTGCAAATATTTTAAGATCTAAAATTCTCAAAAATCTGAACCATGTCTGGTACCAATTATTCCAAATACATATACCAATCATTCCATATATATATAATCATTCCATAAATATATATGTCTGTGTGTATATATACACACAGATACACACACACACACACACACACACACATATATATATATAAAACTTGTGAGCTGTCATTTTAATTTTATGCAAATTAAACATAAAAATAAGACATTTGTAGTTCCAGCTTGGACCTTGTTTAGACACACCCCTGGTGCCTGCTTTCCTTAGTTTGGGTTTGGAGATTTTGGCTTTCTGTGCAAACATCCTGACTTAGTTATTTTCCTACTCGGGTCTTAGGCTGTGACCCACAGCAAGGAAGATGTTTCTTGTGAAAGAAATAGCTCCATAGTCTGACAGACCAATAGAGCAGAGTCCGTGCTCTCCCTCTCCTCCTGCCTCCCTCACCCTCTTCTCTCTCCCATGAAGGAAATGAAACCCTTGACTCATTGACGCAGAGTAAGTATTATTCTACCATCCAGCCCCACACCCAGCCCCACTGCTAATCTCTTTCTTACTAGGCCTGGAATCACCTGGCCAACTGGCCCTCTACCATCCTTATGTCCTGTAGTCACCTTGGAAATCAAAATGACAAAAGATAAGGATGTATCGCTTCTTGCCATCAGTAGACATGAGTATACACATAGTGACCAGTGTTGAATGGCTGGCTGAGCCCACGCAAACCTCCTCAAACCTCTCACCAGTAAAACACCTTTACTAATAAGAATCCCATTCAATCCTTCTGCATTCAGCCCCACCTTTCTTGCCTTCCTATTTGGAACTGAGATCTCTCACCTGGAACCCAGGACTCTCACCTAAAACCAGGTCTCTTACCTAGATAGCTAGCTGCAATCAAATGGTGACCAATATCATGGCCTCCGAATCTCAATTCACATTACATGCATCCTTCGGTCCTTAACCTGTCTATAGCACCATTCAGAGCCTGCCCTTGCTGTACCAGCTTTTTATAGCTTGCAGAATAAGCACCAATACCATATCCTGGCTTCAAGATCCTCCATAGTCTGGCACCAATGCTCTGTTCATAACTGA